CAGTTTTAACAAACCAATTATAAATATTTTAATGTATTGGAACAGCCGCTGTAGTTGCAAAGACTTTAGATTTTACACCAAATTATATATTATTAATATTATATGTATACATTTTAACTTTCAGAACATATTTTGTTATAGTAGCTTCCAAATGTATTGATGTAAAGGTGGTCCCTCGGATGACAGTCTCTGAAGACCAAAACATGTAAGGGCATGAATAATTGAAATAAGAAAAATCTTCACCAGTCACACTAGACGGAACTGTTTAACTTCTCATGATATTGTTAGTGTGATGGACCAGAATGAAACAAATCAAAAACTTGTTGGCCAGTTCTACTCTTGCTGACCACGATACCAATATACAATTACTCCGAAACTCAAAGACTGACATTTCACTAAGTACTACATCCACTAGGGTGTTTTTTGTTCTGTGGTCAAGAAATATATAAAATCATAATGAAACTAACAGTATACATGATTCTTGGTTTATTTAACATAGCTTTTCAACTGCATTAATGCCAAACAGTACCTACTGTTGTTTTATTTACATAAACTAAAGTGAAAGTGAACTAGTGTCACCTCGCTTCCTACATAAATGCAGCCACCAAACCCTGAGATACACAACTCATACCAGGCTGGATCATCAAGAATCACCATCAAACCAATCCTGAAGGATGCCTCAGCATTAAATTTCTAGCACATCACCGGCCAAGAGTTGCAATGACACTTATACTATGCTCTGCTCTGAAAAATTTCCTAAGATTTCAAATTCTGCAGACTACTTTACTTTTACCATGCCTTCAGCTTAAACTGATTTCAAACAAACTCAAACTCTGCAGCTTGAGTCTGTAAGCAAACTATACCGACCAAGCAACCGCCGCTTGTTGGCGAAGCTGGTGCCAACTTTGAGGAGCTATTCAAAGAAATAGTGGCTCCGGTCTAGAAAACAGAAATTAACAGTTGTGGGGATTCATTGCGCTGACCAAGCAACACCCTCTATCAGCTAAAGTTGACAGCTTAAACTGATTTAAACAGAAAAAAGTGGAAATATTTCCTGTAACAGCTGGCTCCATATGTGTATTTAGAAACAAGCAGAGCAATGAAGACTGGAGTCTTCTCAGCTGAAATGTAACATAGCAAGTTTAGCTTGCCACATTCTTGTGTTGGTTTCTTATTTGGCAAGAAAATTTTACACAAAGATGGAGGCGATATATTACTCTAAAACGTTGGATTCTCTCCAAACTACGTGGTGTTACAACCCAGAAGACTGCATCCTACATAGCCACTGCCCTGAGAACATAATTCAGCATGGCAGAGATGTTAACTAAAACATGAACACATAAGAACTTAAACACATACATAATACAAATACTTCATGGGATTATAAATTAAAAAATTACAATGATCTATGCATGTCAAAACACTGCATACAAATGGAGTACGTATTCTATTTACTTATTAGTGGGCTATTTACTGATGATTTCAGTATCTAGACTATGTACCATCAAAGGGATGATCTGGAAGGAAGTGGTTGTGGCCTAACAGAGGTACTAGCCTGGCATTTCTCTGGAGCGACTAAGGAAATCCACAGCAAAAAAACTCAGGACAGCCAATGTCCTGGACAAGCACTTCCCAAATAGTCGGTAACAGAATATGTAGAATGCCCTGGAATTGCGTGTGAAAGGTAAGTAACCCAAGAACAATCACGATCACAATGAACTACCTTAGTACCTTACAGTATTGCAAGTAAAGAAAATATATGAAATGAGCGAGAAAATGAAGACAAACAACATGCACAGCTGCAGTAATTTCTTCTATTGACCATCAGAATAAATAAAAACACCCGCAACCAAACAGGGAACACGCAACACGAGACACGATATACCCTGAGAATAAGAGGAACGACTCCCATAGTGGTGAAACTATGCATGGTGTTAGAATTGGGACAGATAAGATAAATAATCTTAACAAGTTTTTAGTATATATATATTTATTATAACTGACGAGTACTTTTAAATACTTTTTAAATTTTACAATGACATAAAGGCAAGCAATGAAATAGATTGACGTAAATAGGGCACCTGATGATGGCACTGTAGTGCCGAAACATGTTGTGAAGTAACAAGTGAAATTGAGTGCACTAAAAGACAGACACTGCTTACATATCATGGACGAAGATCAGTGCAAAAGGACGCTAAAATACAACAAAATAAAAATATACATACAAAACATTTTATATACTAGCACAAAACTGTCGGTATTGCCATGCGTCTGACTGACTGTTGACAGGGTCTGGATTGGATTACCACTTTAAGACATAACCTATGACTACACATAATTATTGCGCCACTGCTGATTTCCACACTTTACAAATCACTACAGCACATGCTTAGTCTTTTCCAGCCTTCAGTGTCTTCACTGTTAGTTGCCTGGTAATGGCTCCAACAATGGCTATTCCTCTGCTTCCATGCTCAAGTCCTCTCTGAATGGTGGTTCCCTTCCAACTGAACTCTTTTCTTCATAGACTCCTGCACAGAACTAATCTGGCTACCCCAACTGTCTTTCTTATAACTCTTTAGCATGACCAGTGCAAACAGCATTCAATCTTGTATGCATATCGACTGCTGCAGGAACATGTTTATCAAGTCATTCCCTAGTAGTGGCCATCTATTGTTGCTATTATTTCTCCAGCTACATAGCTAGATTACTGCTACCTGTTATTTAAATTTCTTACTTGCCTTTACCTTCTTTATTGAGTACTACATCTGGTCTAGGAATACTGTGTGCATATATTGCACCGTATAATTTGGATTTAGCTATGAAGATATTTTTTACTAGCACACTCTGTTTCTGGTACAAATAGAGACAACTGATTTGCCAAAATGTGAATTCAGAATGTCGCTTTAGTTCAAGAACAGGGTGGCTGCCATGTGACCTGCATACTTGATGTGCTGCATGATCCAATGGGAGACACACTGGACTCCAAACAGAAAATTGTTACCTCCAGGTAAGACTGAACTATAACACATATATTCTTCATTTTAGGTTATGCCAATTTTATAACTATATTATGTTATTACATTTTTTTATTTGATAACACTGGTGATTATTTACTTTTAAATTTTAATATTGTAATAAATTTGTATTTTGTTGTAAAATATAGAGAAGCTACTGAATCCATGCATATGTACATATTGATGTGGAGAACAGAGCAGACATATTTTACATCTGAGCATGAACCCCAAAAATATTGTGGGAGAACGGAAAGGAATGTACAAACAAGAGGTTCTCGCAGTGGTAATTATGAAGACTTCTATCTTCTGTATTGTCTGCTACATACTGGTTTCTTGCTTGGCTTAATCTTCAGTCCTAAAGGTGGAAGTGAAATGTTCCTCCAAAACACTGGCTTTCAGCGAACTACATGGCGTTAAATCCAAGAAAACAGAACACTTAAAGAAATATAAATGATTATGTATCTGATGATTCTGTTTTGGCTTCAGAGTGATGATGAAAGGGGCACTGAAAAAATGTCAGCATCCCTGAGAGTGATACAGATCCTGATTATGATAATGATCAGAATGATGCCCCTAGCTCTTGGCCCCATATTATGATAATGACAATGACAATGCTACTATTTCTGTTTTGTGCTGCTGGTGATGATGATTATACTGTTCCAGCAACAAGTAACAGTGGTAATGTAAATGCTTCCTGGAAGAGGGTAAATAATCATGGACCCAGCCTGTAACTCCATGGAAAGGAAACTTACCTGATGGTCCTGAAGATCCTTGTCCACCAATACATTACTTATGAAACTTTACTGATGAAGTGTGGCTGACAAATATAAATGATGAAATTAATTTGTATGCTTACCAATGTGATCTTAGCAAAACTATCAATATGACTGAACATGAAAAGGTACAAATTATAGGATGCTGCTCTTTAGGTCAGTCTATGGTCTGTCTCCCTATGGCAGGAATGTACTGGAAAACAGAAATCAGAGCACTAGCAATCGCTGATACCATGAATAACACTAGGTGAGAAAATACAGAGTTGAAAAGTTATTTTGATAACACTGAACTTTCAGAAGAAAAGAACAACAGTTTATATAAAATTAAGCTTTTTGTGGCTTCACTTTCTTTTTTAATTAAACCAAATTCCCATGAAGTAAAGCTGTGTTGAGCAATGAATGATTCCATTCAAAGGCAAATGCAAATTCAAAAATTCTATGAAGGATAAGCCAAAGAAAAGGGGATATAAGCTTTTGTACCACATGACTCTGGAGGTATACAGCACAATTTCGAATTATATTCTGGTGATGTAGAACATGATCATGCCCTCATATATAGATATAAATGGAAATATTGTGCTTTGCCTTAGAAAAATTATACCAAGCAATTATTTTCACAAGCTGCACTCTGACAACTGGTTTACAAGGATTCCGGTTCAAGATAAATTTGAAAAAAATGGGAATCCAGTGCTTGGGAACTGTCTGGCCAAAGAGAGTGCATGGTTATGAATTATCATCAAGAAGTAAAAGAAGTCACTGACAGGATCACAGCAATGAAGTGGTATGATGATTATTCTCTTTGTAAGATTTGAGGCTTTCACGGCGGTGACTATGAAGAAAGCAGTCTTCTGGGATTTTGCACCGTGTATATGTGGTGTTAACCGACGTTTCGGAGGAACGTATCGCCTCCATCTTCAGGGTAGAAGAAAAAATATATAAGAAATCTGCAAGCAAAGAGACCGTGAGAACCAGTAAAAGCAGACTGGTTTTACCGGTTCTCACGGTCTCTTTGCTTGCAGATTTCTCATATATTTTTTCTTCTACCCTGAAGATGGAGGCGATACGTTCCTCCGAAACGTCGGTTAACACCACATATACACGGTGCAAAATCCCAGAAGACTGCTTTCTTCAATTATTCTCTTACTGGGCATATCTGTTGGTGCATTCCTGACTTCTAAGGTACAATGACAGAAAAAATAAAACAACGAGAAAGTTAATGTCAAGTGCCCCAATATTATGATGGCACACAAGCTCATACATGGTGTGGATTTGATGGATTCCTTAAACACTCTACCAAACAGAGATCTAATCCATGAAATGTTTCCATCTTCTTGATCTTGTTGTGGTCACTGCAAGTTGCTTCATGTCAGAGACTATATATTTTGCAATGTAAGAAAGAAAACTTAGAAGAGTCTTCTGGATTCCAAGCCAACTATTGCAGCTTGCTGATGCAAGGAAAATGACACACCCACATGACAGGTTCACTCAGTTACAAAAATCAGGTGCTCAGAGTATAGTTCATTTTTGCTTCATGCCAAATTCAAACTTATTTTTGGGATTTATTCCAACTGGCATAGAAAAGGATAAAATTGACCAAATACCCCCCCCCCTTCTGAATAAAAGTTACTGTCCCAGATTTTATTCTAGTTACACTTCTTATTTTTGAGTCCAGACCATGTTGAATGTACTGTGAAAATATTTTCTAATATGGATTATCAACCAAGATCTGCACTGTTAGGAATTATGATTTCTAAACAACTGTTATCTTTTTAGACTGATTTTTTCAGTTGTACCATAAAAAGAAACATCATACAACATTTTTCATCACTCAGTGTGGCTTCAAAGCCACAAATCCATACTGAAAAAAATAAATAAATAAAAACAAAAACTTATCACTGTAACAAATATTTCTTCCAAGATTAATTTTAACTTAGTCCCACAGGTGCAGCATTTTTCTCTTTTCCAGAAAATTGGCCAACAGAGGGTTAAACTACATGCCAGTAGTCAATGTGTTAAATATACAGTTTGACAGGCAGTATGAATAGTGCTTCAAAAATAAAGGCAGAAATAAAAGTAACTTGACATCATCTATTTCTTCTTGCTCTTTCCAAGAGTCAGTGTGTGATGACTGCTAGTCATCTGCTGCTGCTGCAGCTGCTGCTTTCTACGGTTAAATTCCACGATCTCGTCTTCTAGTTTCTTGCGAGATTCTTCTAACTTCTTCTTCTCCTCAGTATGGTCCTTCTTCAGTTTATCAAATTTTGCATGAAGCTGTTGAACATAAAATATTAATAATTCAGTAGTCAAATTGTAAATACCCGTAATGGGTAAATTTCTGTACAGTCGCTCACCTTTCGGTGTGGTTTGTAACAACGCATAAAGGTTTAAGGGTTTCTCAATGTTCATATATTACTCACCCACGCATTTATCCATTTGAATGTAATAGTTCTGCTCTGAAACTGACTTTCAAGGAACTACTTATTTAGAGTACACAGCAAAACTGATCACAGAAACTGAATTTTCATATAAACTAATCTACAATTTACAGACAGGTCAATAACATTTGCGTACATATTTAATAAAATGCTAAACACAAAAAACATATACAAATATTATAACCATTAATGAAATAAATATCTTTACTATTAGCCACACACATCCCATGTGACTGGGAGGAGGTGGGGGGGGGGAGGTACACGCAGTGCAAATCCTCCTTATTAAAAGGACCAAACAAAATCCAGGTTAAATTCCTAAGCACATTGAATACATTGCTGCATAAACATCTAAGTTATCCTTCATCCCCTGAGAAATGATGTTTAGTGACTTAACGTTCTTTTCCGTAACACCACAGAAATATCAAATCAGTGTCATCAATGCCATCAGTACCTTATCAGAAGGTATAGCAGGCGATCACTTCTTGCCATTTGAATCATGTTTCCCACACGTGCATCAATTTTTGAAATTACTGGAAGGCTGGATGTTACATTTTCTGTAAGGTCTTCCCTTCCATCTTAAAACTGACTAATCCACATGAAAACTCATAATATACTCAAGAGTTCCCTTGCCATCTTCCTGTAACATTCTGTTACTGGAACATATCTCCAGCTTCACTAACGATGTATAGTCTGTTGTCTAACAATCTATCACCTCCCATGTTTTTGAGAAACAAACAAAACAATGTACCAGTGAAAATGACAGAACAAACTGAATGCCAGTGAGTGACATAGAACTGCTGAATCATGTAGTCACATGACCAAATATGCCAACACACCAGCTGCTGCATAAAATATCAGTCTGATTATCTGTCAGACTTCGTACACATACAGGACTTTACATGTCACACTTCACTCTTTACATGAAGGAAACACTGTCAAATGATTTCTAGTTTCAGGTGAAATCAATACATCAGTCCAGAAAGTAGAAAGGTAACACAGTTACAAGAAGTGGGATGTTAACCTTCATTCTAGCTATCACAAGAAGTACAACAGTTACCATACCTCTTTCTCTGCTTCTTTTAGCTCCGCCTCCTTCTCCTTGACACGAACCACAAACATTTGTCTCATTTCATCCTCCTTCTGCTGAAGTTCCTGTAAATGGTTGCTTCGCTTTGCCTCAAATGTTTGCTGGAAACTCACTGGCTTGTTCTCGGCATCCACATCACTGAACCCCATCTGTTGACATGCCAGTAGTCACATCCATCCAGCAAAGAAAAGTACAGCGATTATAATCTTATTTATGTAAAGAGATTATCTATGTGCTGAAGCACCAGGCTATGAAGATGTATAATGGAATGGAGGCAAAGCTCCACACATATTTAATCCTTTATGATTCCATGTCGGACAGAGTCGTCCACTTTATTTCTGTGTTCTGGTCCTACGTCAGACTCAGTTTGCTACAAATTTTATGAATGTTACAGGTGATCTGGAGTCAGTCTGCGGGATTAAAACAGTGTCAGTACATCACTCAAGCCTTCTTCTTTGCAGTGGTGTTAACAAATTGTTTGTTGCTGTAATACTGTTGCGAATTTGTAACAGATTTTTTTAAGGATCTGTATATCTCTGTAGTTCTATCCGAATGGCATCTTCCAGTGGGCTGAATTGGGCAGCAATCAGATTCATGAAAACTGCACTTTCACTGAATTCATCCAGGATCCAGATATGATATATTTGATCTTACTGACCTTGATGCTGAAATACGTGAGTCTAATTTGAGTGACAGTTGTAGTTATTCTGATGACAGTGAGGCAAGTGGAAATGTGGATGGTGACAATTGTGGTGGTGGATGTAGTGGTTATCATGATGATGATGATGATGATGACTTGGGGAAAAAATAATAATGATTTCTACATGCTACCATTTCATGCCTCATTTAGTTGTAAACCACCTCGAAACAGGAAAATGTCTGTTCTACACACAAAATCTTATGCTATTTTTAATTCAACTTTGTTTCAAGAGACAGGTGCTCAAACTAATAGATCTGTGAGTAAAAAAAACCTGTGGCAGCCCGGGTTTGATCCCGGGGTCTGGTCAAGTTGGATTTGTGGTGGACAAAGTGGCGCTGGGGTGGGTTTTATCCAAGTACTTCAGTTTCCCTTGCCAATCTTCATTCCACCAAATTTTCCATCATTATAATCACCCGGGGCAGGCTACAATAGGCCAATCAGTGGCTACTGTGCTGAGTGGACCCAGTTGGACTCCACCCCCCTAAGCGAAAAAAAGAAAATAAAAAAGAACGCCTGTACAACATGAACAGGCAGTCAGAAAAAAGATCAACTCTGTCTGACCTGGTGTTCTGTAAGAGATTGAAGAGTTGGTAGGAAACATTCCAAACAAAATTTAGGCACATAATGAGAAGGTATCAAAATAATGTGCAGTTTGCCTAAACAGAGAAGTGAAAAGAGGCAGAAGAGAAATGTCACCGTATTGTGACACATGTCCCAGGAAGCCAGGACTCCACTCCAAGTGTTTTATCATATAGTATACAGTGAAGAAGTACCATTTTGTATGTAGCAAATAGAAATATTTTATATCTGACAGAGTCATACAAAAATATCCCATTTTCCAGTAGAAAATTCTATTTCTTTATTATGTTTTACACATAGAGCAATACATCACTGACATATGCATGTTCAGTTATCCTCTTATCGTGCATTCTTTATATGCAGTGACATCATCCTGTTGTGTTTCATTTTACAGTGTTGACCTGTCTTCAGATTACAAAATCCAGCTGTAAAGGACCCACAGCTCCGAGATCATGCCACGCAATGCTTATACCTCATGTCTACACATAATATGAAATGTTTAGATGTCATAATCAAAGAACTGACCATAGTTTTATTCCCTGAAGAACAACAATAAACAGATTGGCAACATTCACCACATATGTCACTAGTGACAGTGGTACAGTCTGTAAAAGTATTTCATGCACTCAGTATTCAAACAGTATGAACTCTGATCCCTACACACCATATTTTCATCACACTTAGCAATGTTTCTTCTGTTTTATGCAAGTTATAAAGAAAAACTAACCAGTTCATAACAGTAGCTGCAAATAAACAGTTCAGTGACATTTAAATAAGACCAGCAGGTAACAGTAGTGGTATCTAACGTCACAAAGAAATAAGAGTGAGCTGTCAGTTTCGCACTAAAGCTGCTTTATCATTAGAGTAGTGCCCAGTATCCATGGGTGTGCCTCAGAGCCAATATAGACATGATGAAAGAAGAAAAATCTTTCCTCTATTGGAAATCAAATTCTAGTCATTCAGCACACAGCACATAACTTCACTGATTGAGCTACTGCAGCCCACGGCAGATTCAGAATTCAAGCGTAAATATTTTATATATTCAGAGTGTGAAATCATGGTATGCACAGCAAATGCAATATGTAAAAAATTTCACTTTAAAGCGTATTTAAAATAAATGTTTCATTACTCTGAAAAATTTCCCAATAACTGAATTGTCACCTGTTCCAAGCGCTTCTTGCGATAGAGTTCATAATGTCGCATGTGTGTCTTCTCTCGCATGTCTTCCATGTTTGTTCTGATCAACATTTCACGCAGCTTCACAAAGTCACAATGGGACTCATTCTCAACTGAAATAAGAAGTAAATGCTAGAGACACAAACTGCAACATTACATTGCTTCACATTCATATCAGTTCTGAACAAGTTTTGAGCTGGGCTAGGTAAAGATAACAAGTTTTAACCACCACAATGGAAAATAAATTTTAAAGGCTACAAACAGGCTACAAAATTTTCAGAGATTTCATAAGTACCTTTAATTTCCATCCACATACCAATAAAAATTACAATATAAAACATATTCATCTATAAATTTTGATAACAGGTTATTATCTTCAGGCTGTTCATATATTTTTAAGTTATAACTACTGAACTGAATACGTCATTATAAATAACATAACAGTTCACAGACCCATTAACTGTTAAACTGTGTGGCATCATTTATACTAACAGGATTATTACAAAACAAAGTTACTGCAAAGAATAAGATTAATAAAACCGATTTTATAGATAATAAAAGCACTTGGTCTTATGGGTGGAATTTTATGTGTAAAATAGGCTCTTACTTATTTCAAACATAAACATGTATTCACAGAATTACTGTATTCTGATCCATTTTGAGTTATTTCCACAAAAAATTCTATCAGTACATTTACCTGTGTTTCAAATAAGCAGTAAAGATCCAATTTACACGTGTAATTTCATGATGTATGCTGATACATACAATTTACATAATATATACAATTCAGCAATTACACGACACAAAAATATATGATCAGAATGAAGATTACATTCTAATGTCAAAACTTGGTGCTACACATTTCTTGTAACATACTATTAACTGCTGTGTGAACATAAATAAAGTATCTGACAAAAGCAATTTATTAACTGAACATTATGGTATGGAGAAATTCAAAATAGTTTATAGGTATTATACATGGTAGAGTCATTAAGTTGGTGGAATGTGGTTTTATTGCATCATATTACAAGGTATTCACATACACTTATGCAGATCCACATTGGCCCTCAAAATAGTTGCCATTGGCCGCTATGCAAGTCTGCCAATGTTGATATAACTGTCGAAAACACCGCTGAAACATATTGGCAGTAAATTCCCGTACGCTTTGCGGCCATTCCACGAACTTATTGACTGTAGTAGTATATATACCAACACATTAGAGAGGTCAAGAGAATGATGCTTTCCTGAGATATGGATGCTTCTGTCACTCAAGTGGCTGCACAAATTAACTTTGGAACTTCTTGCTATCAGCTGCACTTCACTTTGAACAGAAGTCTCATTTCTCAGCACTATATCTAATTATAGTTATGTTTCAATCCTCATCGCCACATCTTCCATTTCAACTGTGCTAAATCAGTAACACATAAATGCATGGGCCGCACCATAGCTCAAGCAGTTAGTCCCTGGCTACCCACTGCAGCAGCCCAGGTTCAATCCCAGGTCTGGTCAAGTGGGATTTGTGGTGGACAAAGTGGCGCTGGGGCAGGTTTTCTCCGAGTACTTCAGTTTCCCCTGCCAATCTTCATTCCACCAAATTCTCCATCATCATAAACATCCGGGGCCAGCTACAATAGGCCAATCAGTGGCCGCCGTGATGAGTGGACCCAGTTGGACTCCACCCTCCACTAAGCAAAACACATGAATGTAAAGACTGGCAACAGTCAATAGTCTCATAAATTCTTGGACGCTCTTTCAAATTCAGAATGAAAAGTTTCTTTTTGTCCATGATATTTTTCTTCTTTGTTAATACATTTTTCCTTTAATAATTTAGCAGCCACATTTGGGAACTTTCTAGGGTAATTCATTTTCAACTGGGGAGACAATAATTCCAATCTGTTCTTGAACTAACTGACGCAGCCAATCATATCAACAGTTGTTTTAGAATTTCCTCTTAATTTCAAATGGAGTTTACTGAAAGAACATCCGCAAGGAAAGCTAAATTCATCAGCCAGACATAAGCATCAAGCTGAACATATCCCTCACCCCTTGGCTTTAAGCATTCTATAACATTATGCAGTATATCTCTGAACCTTGGTAAAAATATCCCTGTCATTTCACCATTAAACACAAGCATTACATGAGAGTTCTCCATTAGCAGGCATTATTCCACTTTGGACCTACACAATCTTCTCTGAAATCTTCTTCCTTCAATTTGAGTTCACAGTTTTTGTGCAGATAACCACAATATCAACAATTTGCAACAGAGTCCTTCCTGATGCAATGGTAAAATAGGAAATCCAAAAGAATATTGTCAATTCCATAAAAATTAAAATACATCATTTTGCCATTCCTCAAAGCTACTCCATTAGTAGTAACTGATAAAAGTTCGTAAACTAGAAAACTATGCTCTCCCACACATTTTTTTAAAATATAATAAACATCTTCACTGCAAACCTTTGCCTTCAGATGTTTTTCCCCTGTACTCATGTCATCAAAAACCATTCTGGAGAAAAACAAAGCTGGGAAGCATCAAATATGTCCATGGATTCACTGGACTGCAGCAAAGAAACAAACACATTTACTGAGGCTCTGGTAATGTCGTTCAACCAAATCACAATTCATTACATACAGGTGGTGCATACCAGTTCTGTACAACTGTGAGAAGTGTCCTGAACAGCAGCAATAATTCACTGTTATTCTTAAAAGAATCGACCAGTGAATCACCCACCTCTCAGAATTCTGCTTTCTCTGTCCTCAAACAGCTTCTTATGTTTCACCACTGAACTCACCCAAATTTATGCTGCAGTACCTGCCTTCAACTGAACCACAGATTTTTTTGGCAGCTGTGACTTCTGTGCTTCCTATTTTCTTTTGCAGAGCTCAGTCTTCAAGGTTCAGTCTGTACCAAAACTTCCACACATGCTTCTAAAATGTCTTTTGATGTCACCTTTCTTGACAAGCATCATACCTGCACATCATATGATGCAAACACAACTAGACTTCACCACTGTGAAAATGAACACCCTGCTCCACAATAAAGGTGCCTTTTCTTTGGGTTTGGTCCTTTGCACATCTTTACATTTAAACATAAATTTTCTACAAGCAATGATTATAATCAAAACAGGAATCAACTATCAAACCTGGTACAAGGACATGACTCTGAATGTCAGTGAAAACAACCAGCAATAATATGGAGTAGCAGGAATAGGGTGTTGCCAGTGGCTACCTCACATAGCCAAATCAACTGGTAGCAGGAACTTACAGCATAGCACTGCACGACAGGAAAACAGCAGTACCAGATCAACTGGAACTAGCAACTAGCAACTAGCATGAAGTGACAGTATTCAACACTGACACTGTAAGCTTACACAAATTACCAGAAACAAAAATTTTACTACTCTCCTATGCATTCACAGTCCACCCCAAATTGGTTTATGGCCCACTGGGAGACCATAATTGACTTCTTGCTCAGTCCTGTCTCAGAACCTGGATAATGACAGGAAAAAGAAATGTGACCCCCTGCCCCCGCAACGATGACTACAAAAATTCATTTGGCAAAAAGGTCATGATTATAAGGATAGTACGATGAATTACAAGGCTATCTAAATATGTTATGGCATACATACATGTAATAATCAGAATTCAATTATTTTATTCCAGTACCGCAACTTTTAGTAAACACGCTTTCATGAATGGTTATCACAGCTTGATAACACTTTTGAAGTTTTGTCTATGACCCATTCTTACTGCACTATATTCCTGGAAGCAAAAATATGTCAGCTCCAAATACTGAAGATTACAGTACCTTGCACTGTTCCCCAAGGGTACTGTCGGGATCTCATCATTTTATTTCCCACACGCACAAAGTCTGTACTTCCCACAACAGCAAATGGAACATGTGCATTCATTGAGGCATTCACTTCTGCTACTGAATCATCATCTGTCGGAAACTGATAGATGTGCACACCATTGCTGGCAAGCTCAGAGTTAATTTTAGACTGAAACAAACCATACATCATTCTGCAATAATCATGAAGTGATTTATTTAATTTATTTAATGCCAGAATAATAAAGTTAATGATATTCTATGGAACATATTCTGCCCTTCAGCATAATTAAATCTTGTCTTCATAATACCACATACCTACAGTATTACAGTTTTAGATGCAAAAAAGTGAGACAGGGCTAGATCAGTGGAGTATGAATGTGCGACAAATTCCACCAGCGTTAAAAGACAATAACCTAAATTTTATAAAAGTCATTCCATACCATACCTTAAAAAATTACTAAAATATTTTTCACTTTTGCTCATTGTTTCCACCCCACAAATAAGTTGTAAACATGTTTTGGGGATCCATTATCAGTTCTACCTTGTCAAAAACAGAACATCATGCGCATATGTTATTTTTTTAGGTCTGTTATATTTTGCAGAAAACTAAAATAGCATCCACCTTTACCTAACATCATATGACTTCTGAATGACATATCCTATGGTTTTGAAAGTATCAGTAAAAATTTTGTAAATTAATTCACTATCACCTAACAGAGGAATTGTGTTCTAACTAGAGTAATGCAAATCTTGGCCGCATCATAGCTCAAGCGGTTAGTCTTCTAGTTAGTTTTGGGACATCGGTTGTCCAGTGATTGAGGCTAGCTCTTTCTAAGGTACCCAACAGAATAGGTGTTTTCCCTCACCTGAGGATGGAAACAGATCCAGTTTCTCAAACGTCCTGTTTTTCTCAGTTATCTTAAAACCAAGATGATAGATAGAGTCCAAAAACCCAATATCTCTGTTTGTTATACACCATCATCAGAATCCTATAGTAACTAATCATATTTCCAGTTTGCCACACTGCAATGTGTTTCTGTGCAAGCATATTAAAACACAGTGGTTTTGTTCACTATTCCTGTTTCATGTTGTACTGGTCTCTCCTTCAGTACAGCTTCCCTGTACCCAGAAACATATCCCTTCTTGCCATCATATTACATTAGCAAAATCACTAACTTTTCAGCACTGTTATGTAGAATGTAGCACTGTATGGGTTCAGCCTAAGTAATAAGTTCCAGGGTTTGAAAATGAAGACACATGGTTTAAAACCTTTCCATCTATATAATTTTCCATATTTCACCAAAGAAATTGGTTTCGTATGGCCTGGGACTTTTTGGACACCCTGTGTAAAAAGTCATAGCTACTGACCTTATATTAATAACCATAGGTTCACTACCTTTCTCTGAGGCAAAAAAAAACAAAAAAAAAAAAACAATTAATAATACTCCTTAGCAAGAAAATGGATGTAATTTGTGAATTTTCTAAATCCAACTAAACTGCCACAACAAATTTCTCTGCACCATGTACAAATCATACCTTGACCCTATTCAAATTTAAAAAGGGTACACCAGAAAAAAATATTATATTACTAAGGATCCACTGCCATCAACTTCATACAAAATTTTATCCAATATTCTTCTTTCAAGGTTAAGTCCATATAGAGATGAAATTATTGGGGATAATCAGTGTGGGTTTCGACATAACAGATCAACTATAGATCAGATCTTTTGCATTCGTCAGATATTGGAGAAAAAATGGGAGTACAATGAGAGAGTACATCAGCTATTCATAGACTTCAAGAAAGCCTATGATTCAGTTAGGAGAGAAGTATTGTACAATATTCTGATAAGATTTTGGGATACCCATGAAACTAGGTAGGTTGATTAAAATGTGCTTAAACGAAACATACAGTGAAGTCCATGTAAGTAAACATTTGTCTGATAAATTTGCTATCCATAATGGTCTACAACAGCCATGTCAAACATGCAGACCCCATAGCCACAAAATGCGGCCCCTCAACTTTTAGAGCTGATTGATATTAAAATCAATATTAAAATTTTAGTAGAAATATTTTTTGTAAAGACAATTTTCCAACAGACCAGAAGACAAGAAGTCTCACGCAGACATAAATTAGCAGGCTGCAGGAAAAGTGATTCTGAGAATTGCAGAAGGGTTTGTCCAACTAACGGTTTGTAAAGTTCGTGAAGGACAAATTGTATTTCAGAAGGTTAATGTACTAAAATCTGCATAGTCTCACCACCCCAAGTATTTCCAAGAATCCATTTTGGAGGCATAGTTAGAATGCAAGGAGGGTGGCAACTGCAGACAAGTGCAAGGGATTTCTACCTTCAAAACTAGCTTGCAACCCCCAGTCATTGTCTAATGGGCTGCTAGCAAACTTTCACTTTTATGACCATTGAGACAAGATACACCTTCCTACTAGTCTGGTAATCTCTTGTACATTGTCATTCAGTTCTTTTTCACACAGCGACAGGCGCTGATGTTATATTGTGATGAACGTATAAAGGTTATAATTAAACATTAAATTATCAACTACAAGTTTTCTTGTATATGTACAGTAACTTTCAAAGGGCAATGTCGCTTTCAAAAAATTCAAGTAGCAAGAAAAGAACTACTGAAATGAGCGCCATGTTTTTCAAGAAAAATGGGAAATCGCTTATTTCTGTTGTGAAATAGAATGTAAAATTACATGTTTGATTTGTGGACAAAATATAAGTGTTCCACTTTAGGTAATTATACTGAAATTATTCCTAAATAATAAATAGAATTAAATTTCCTTGTATCAAAATATAATGTAATTTCTATTTTGAAGTGTGGCCCTCAACTATTATTTATAGAGCTGAGGTGGCCCTCTGTAAAAGCTGAGTTTGACATGCCTGGTCTAAAACAAGGAGCTGCTTTATCGGCACTCCTTTTCAACTTTTCTTTAGAATATGCTATTAGGAAGGTCCAGGGAAACCAGGTGGGACTGAAATTAAATGGGACACATCAGCTGTTGGCCTATGCCAATGATGTGAATCTACTGGGTGATAATGCAGATACCATAAAGAAAAACACACAAACTTTAACTGACGCAAGTAAAGAGGTTGGTCTAGAAGTAAACACTGAGAAAACTAAGTATATGTTACTGTCTCGTCACCAAAGTGCAGGGCAAAATCATGACATAAAGATAGGAAACAGATGTTTTGAAAATGTGGCACAGTTCAGATATTTGGGAACAACGATAACAGATCGAAACCTGATTCAGGAGGATATTAAGAGGAGACTGAACCCAGGTAATGCTTGCTACAATTCAGTCCAGAACCTTTTGTCTTCTCGTCTGCTGTCCAATAACATAAAAATTAGAATAAACAAAACTATAATTTTGTCCGTGGTTCTGTATGGGTGTGAAACTTGGTCTCTGACATTAAGGAATGAACACTGACTGAGGGTGTTTGAGAACAGGGTGTTGAGGAGAATATTTGGACATAAGAGGGGTGAAGTGACAAGAGGTTGGAGAAAACTGCATAATGAGGAGCTTCATAACTTGTACTGTTCTCCAAGTATAATCAGAATGATCAAGTCAAAGGGCATGAGGTGGGCAGGAAATGTAGCACGAATGGGGGAGACGAGGAATGCATATAGGATATTGGTGGGAAAGCCAGAAGAAAAGAGACCACATGGACAACCAAGGCGTAGGTGGGTGGACAATATTAGAATAGATCTTAGAGAGATAAGATGGGATGGTATGGATTGGATAGATCTGGCTCAGGAAAGGGACCAGTGGAGGGCTATTGTGAACACAGTAAAGAACCTTCGGATTCCATAAAATACTGGGAAATTCTTGAGTAGCTGCAGAATTGGCAGCTCCTCCAGAATGGCTCAGCTCCATGAGTAAGGAAGTAAGTAAGTAAGTAATAACACCGCTCTTTTCCAACCTGCCTTTGCTTGTATCGGCGCAGTCGGAATGGTGCTATCCCTGCTACACCTGCTTCTACCTTAGGACAGTGTATGATGGCTACTGGAAGTTGTTCACAGATCAAACTAAGGAAGATCGGTATAGGTTTGGGAAACTAGCTGGGTCGGTTTGCATGTGTCTGAGGGTAGCGATGCCGAAGAAAGCGTTTTTCTGAGAGTTGAGCCAATTGACGTTTATTCACCTGCTAATTCACCACACTGTTAAATTAATGTATTCTTAGCTTTAAGTTACAGCGTTACACTATCGGCAAGCTACGCCTCGGAGCGTGCAAGGGTCACGTCCGTTCAGTTCGGAATATTGTGAAAGTCTCCTTTTTGTGGAATGGCTTGCACCCCCACGCCGGAAATTCGAAAGATGGTGTTGACATATACATTTTCATCCCATCTTCCGTAGGAAGCTTGAACGAGGCAACCCAATCATACTGGCCCTCATTCACAGGCAATTGTAACAAGCTCTGACCCGTCCTTTTCATTGACCTTCCCTTTTAGGCGCATCCGGTTCCCTGTACCCAAGCTAAATTTATGACTGATCGTAAATGTCATAACTCCGGACTTCTTGTTTCTGCCAGAATCTAGAAATTTTCAACATAAACACCGTACTGCACGTCCCAGACAGTGAAATACGATATTAAAGATCACAATACATTTCCAGTAATATCGAAACATAAGACTTTTGAAATTAAAATTACCGAGAATTAATTAGAAATAAATTTCATGGTCATCTATAATCATCAAAATAAATAAGGGCTCAGAATGATCAGCGTCAGTAAGTAATTACTATGGATCTTCTGCATACACATAAAAAATAATAACTACACCTGCTTCTTTGTTAATTTCTAACACTTACCTTGAATTTCTGCAATTCTGTTTTGGATATAGTATCAGCCTTGGCAATAATTGGGATGATATTTACTTTTGTATCTAGTTTCTTCATACAAACCAAGTCAATAGACTTCAGACTAAAAAGACGAATAAACAAAACTGTCTGTTAGCTTCAACCAGTGCTCCTCACATACATGTTCACACAGACTAGGCCCAGCGTCACATTCTGGCTGTATACTACACATCATGCCTACACTCAGGTTAGACATCTTTCATAGATCAGCAGAATTGTATTAACCTAGGACTGAAAAAAGTGTTACAAGGACTGAAGGTGAATCCCAAAGAAGTGAGACAATATATTTTGGAGATTTTCTCCCTAAACCCATTCCTTACTGGAAACAGTACTAACACAAGGCTGGACTTATACGTTCTGACTGAAAGGTGAGCCTGACATACAGCATACACCATACACAGTGTGTCCAGGATCCGTTAGGACTCATTTTTTTAAATTTTGCCCTGCAATGCAAGTTGTGGTGTTAAGATTCTTGAAGTTTCAGCGGTGGCTGTCTATAATTTCAAAGTGCAAGCATCACTGCATCATGTGTTCTGACCTTGAATGTAACAGTACTGTTCTGACGCTCGTCAGAAAATGGTGGTTGAACATCAAATTTTGTTTGAAACTAGGCAAAACAGCCGAAGAAGAGTATGAAATGATGAAAAAGTGTGTACGGTAGTGACTGTTTGAGTCACTCGAACATTTTTTGATGGCATGCTGTATTTCGTGACGGCAGGGAGGACACTGAAGACACTCCACGTCCATCAAAGCCGAGAACAAGTTGCACTGAAGAAGATGTGAAAAAAGTGACCGAAATCCTTGCATCAGACAGATGTGTTTCTGCAAGACTCATTGAGGAGCTTTCAGGAATACCAAAAAGTACTGTGCATCAAATTTTGACCGAGGATTTGGGCAAACAGGTCTGTGCATGGTTTGTACCGAATGCGCCGTCAGGTGATGAGAAACATGCCAGAGTGGAACACTGCAAAGACATGTTACGGTCAGCCAAAAGTGATACAAAATTTACAAAATTGATTGTTATTGGTGACGAGACATGGGGTTTTCAATATGAGCCTCTCACAAAGCGGCAGAGTGCAGCATTGTTGAGCCCAAAGAAGCCAGCCGAACCAAAGAAGTGCACATGCAAAAGAGTTGAGTAAAGACACTGCTAACTGTTTTCTTCGATTCCAAAGGAATCATTCACAAGGAATTTCTGCCAGAGGGTCGAACAGTGAATTTTTATTATTATCTCGGAGTCATCAATTCTTCGAATTCGACCTGAATATGGAGAGCAAGGTTCCTGGTCGCTCCTCCACCACAATGCCCCACCCCACAAATCGAAGATCGTGCGCGATATTTTGGCCAGAAAAGGAGTCACAGTCCTTGACCATCCTCCATATAAGCGAGATTTGGCTCCAGCAGATTTCTGGTTGTTCCCAAAAGTTAAGTTGGCAATGAAAGGAGACTGTCATGACACTATCCAGGACATCCAAAGGGAATGTACAGCAGTTTTAAATGCGATTCCACAAAAGGACTACAGTGACTGTTTTTGAAAACTTTTCAATAGATTCCAGCTATGTATTAATTCAGGAGACTATTTTGAATAAAGGAGTGAAATTTTGAAAATAATTCAAGTCTTGTATTTTTATTGAACACAGTCCTAATAGAACCTGGATACTCTGTGTACCTACAGAGAAAAGCACATTTCCAACCTGTCCCTAATTTCATACAAATTCATCAGTTTGTAGCCTCCACTGAGAACATCCTCCCTGCAAAAGTTAGTTCCATATGTCCACAGTAAATCAGCAACAAAACTTCAAACATTACAAAAGAGCTGACATTTTTCTGTGCGAAATGCTATGCTGTAACTTCAGCTTTATGGAGACTAGAAGACTTTTCTGAATTGTTTCGTTTTTTGAATTGTTTCATTTTTGGTCCGTTACACTATCAATCACAGAGTTAGTAGAGAGTCCATCGAGTGTAACAATTTGTAGGTCACTTTTTTAATATCACTTCTGCCTTACATGTTTCGGTTTGATACAACCATCATCAGAGGCACTTGCTATAACTATGGAAACACTGTCGTTGTTTATGATGTTCACAGTTATGTTTGTCGTGTAGACCCTGCTACAATATGCTGACGTGTAAAAGCACAAAACTTACTAAGATAGTTGAGTACACTATCAAGTTCTCACTTTTCATCCGAAATTGTTTTAAGTTAAAACGCTAAATGTTAAAATATTTAATCTAAAATGCTGAATTCCTCCTTGTTAGTTCATCCCGAAGATGGGAGATGTCAGCTTGAAGTTGTATGGCTTATGTTTTGATATTTCTTATGTGCTGTGTGTTGTGTACTTTTCTGAAATTTAATCTTATTCATAGTGCTGTATAATACTTTCAAATTCATCACAGCTTAATTTTCTAAGTCATTTAATTAAACTTTTCACCTAGATACTTGCAGAAAAAAGTATATGAGATTAGTCTTACCCATGTCCAGTGGGACAAATGAAGTACAGACACACATGAGTTCGACTGTCATGATAAGCTGAAAGGGATCGCTTGATCTTTAATTCTTCCTGAAGATATGCTTCAAACTGTGCATCAATGTAATCTACTACAGCCTTGAAACTGTCTTCCTTATTTATCTGATCACCATAGCCAACAGTGTCACATATAGTCAACTGCAACAAAACATTTCAGAACTGTTAAATATATAAATGTAAATACTGCTGCCTAACACCAACCCTGCTACTGGCCAAACTGTACATTACCTTCAACCTCACATTGCTTTCCTGCAGTTCGTATGTATGAGCTTTCAACTTTACAGTAGGAAGATTATGAGGGCTAGGAGTGGACTCAAAGCTGGTATTAAATAGTGAGTCCATCAAAGTAGACTTCCCAAGTCCTGTTTCACCTGAAAATTAAATGTATAATTTTTTGTTAAAGGAATATTTATTTACGTAAATCCCCATAAAATTAAAAAAAAAAAAATAAAATGAACAAAGAACTGAGATATAATAATTACCAATGCATAGTATGTTGAAGACAAATCCATTCTGCACCGATTTATTTACCAGCTGATCTGGTAGACTGTCAAAACCAACATGGCCTGACAACTTCAAGTTGCGAATACCAGCCTCAACCTACATCATCGAATGAAACAAACTCTATGAGTTGAACATGAAATGAGATGGCAGAAAACAATGGCTAACATTTAGACGACGATGACAAATACAGGTATGGGGACCTCAACGTAATATATAGCAACAATTACAAATAGACTTGAAAGGATTCTGATGATGGTGTATGCTGTTCAGAACTATTAGGCTTATTTTGGACTCTATCCATCGCCGGGTATATAAAAGACCGGTGACTGAGACTAGCTCTTTCTAACGGGCCCAACTGAGTAGGTTTAACCTGCCCCATCCACACAAAGACGGAGACAAATCCAGTATCTGAAACGTTGTGGTTTTATGTCTTTTCTATACCAGATGATGGATAGAATAAAAAATAAGCCTAATAGTTCTGTACAGCAACAATTACAGTTTCAGTTTTCACTGCACGATGGTGGTGTTTTAGTACAGCATAACATTCACCAATTAATTATTACCTTTCATTGCTTTATATTAGTACTTTAGTTTGAGTTTTGGTATGGCAGAGAATAAAATTCAATAATTAATAACTGGAACATTTCAGAATAAGAATGTCATATGTACAATAGTACACATATGTCGAAAATGTCCAAAGAAATTATGGCTTCAAAAAGAAGCACACCTAATATATTGACAAAATATCATCTTATTCTCATTTCTTTGTCTACAATTCCTCCAGTATCCAATTTCATTAGGATGATAACAGGCTTGATGATTAATGCATGCATACAGACGCAATTGAACAAACTCTGCTTCAACGTGAAACACGCTTAATATCAGTTTAAAGGTCATATTAATTCTGTATTTCAGCATCCTGTTGCAGTTGTTTAACTTAACGTCCGTGAATTTATCATCCGTCAATATTGAAACACTTGTTTATTCACTACTTAATCTTAATCTTAGTTTAACATTTTATACTTTGACACATATTTCGGCCCCAAACAGCCATCTTCAAGTGTCTTGATATGTTACAAATATTTTATTAAATTATGTTAAAACTGCTACACTGTCTTAGTCCATGTTACAGTGTGTGTGATTTTAAAACCGGCTAAGACAGTGTAGCAGTTTTAACATAATTTAATAAAATATTTGTAACATATCAAGACACCTGAAGATGGCCGTTTGGGGCCGTAACATGTTGTGTCAAAGTGTAAAATCTTGAATTAAGATTAAGTAGTAAATAGAAGTGTTGCAATATTAACGGACGATAAATACATGGACATCACTTTAATTCGTTTTTATTTATTGATGAATTTAAGCACCAGTATCTTAGCAAACATCATCAAGAAATGGGAAAAGTAAAATTGGAGTGCCTTAAAGCATTTTGCTTTTTATCTTTTATCAATCTCTTTTGGGATTACAGAGCGCTGAAAATCATTTTCGTAACCTGTGACATTTTAAGGGATCTTCGTACAGTAACTGCACAGCCCGGCTGTGTTTACTAACTGAGATAATACTTTCAACTTAACAACTGTATTTGAACTTTACATCAATATATGACTGTATACACACCAGGTGATGGCCGTCAACAACTACAACTGCAACAGTCCGTTCAATCTTCAATATATTTTGTTTCATAATCAGTACACAGCGTAATCCGCCGAGTTATAGATACATAAAAACAATATAATTACCTGTAAAATCAACATTTCAAATCTTAGGTAATTATTTATATAAATATATCAAACTTACCCTAGCCCTTTCAACATCAGCAGTCGCCATCTTACTTTCTACTCTCTGACTAGCAACGACACCAGCACAGAAACCAGCAGCGACCAGCTTCGACCAGCGGTATCTACTTCTGATTGGATGATGAAAGTAAACTGTCCAACCATAACCCAGTGGTATTCAGAAATAGCAGCGGTTACGTTTGATTACATAAAAATACGACAAAGATCTTGACAATTTCAAGAATTTTGAGTGATGTTTCTTTACATGGTAAAAATGCATTACACTATTCATTACTTCTTGAATTTGGAGTTGTGATTGGGACATGTTCTAGTGCAAGCTCTTAGGTCTGCATGCTGTTTATCAAATCGCCTAAAAAAATATGTTCGTGAATGCAACTCGATCTGACGGACTCGTTTCCCGTTTCTCAAATGAAGGCGACAACTACAGCGTTGAATTGCAATCATACAATGAAATTTTAAAAATGATAAATCATAATCGTCGGAAGTAAGACAAAGGACGTGACGACGGCTTCCTAGACTCTTACGGTGTTTTATTCCGTAATACACACATTCTCATTGGATGCTGAGCAATTTTTGTAGCTGTTGAACCTTCTCCATGTAACTACGACTATATCACCAAAACTCACATTCATTTTGACTTGTAGAAATCTTGATGTACACTGGGATTATTGTGAAGGAGACAAGATGGGGAAGGTGGTAGAGTTTTATTTCGGCAGTAACTGCAAGAGGTCATAGAATTCAAATAACCATATTTTGGAACCTTATCATGAAATTAATACTTCCATCTCTTTTACTAATACCAAAAATAATTTCATAAATATTGCGTAAGTACGCTTATTTTTTAGGCTTTTACAGTTTTATTACTCTAATGAGATGAATGTCTTGTGATTATTACTAATACTATTACAAACACGGGGGAACGTGGTAGCGTAGTTGGTTAAGGCACTATGCTACAAGCCGGAAGGTCGCGGGTTCAAGTCCTGATGAGGTCATTGGATTTTTTTCAATTGACCTAATCCTTCCGGCCGCACTATGGCCCTGGGATCGACTCAGCCTCTAACAGAAATAAGTACCAGAAATTAATTAAATAATTTTCCTGGGGAGTAAAGCGCGGCCGGCTCGTCAGGCTAACAACCTTACCGCCATCTTTGAGCCGACTGTCTAGATAATGTGGGACTCTCAACGTCTCACAACCCTAAGGGCCTTCACGGCCTGTTACAGGGATAGCTTTACTTTTGCTTACATTACTATTACAACCCTCATCACCATCAGCTTTCTTCCATATATGTTTGCCGGTAGTCTCGTGCATCGGTTTTAGCCTCATTATGGAATGATACAATGCACCGGCCGATGTGTGGCTCTTGCAATTTTGCCGGTACACATAAATTGTTTGCTGGTATTTGTACAGGAGCAGACTTGACTGGAAAAGCTCTTCTTCTTCTTCTTCTTTATTATTATTAGAGTCCCATCTGCACAGTCGTGGAAGAATTGAAGAATTCAAGGTATCTCACTTTGTTATTAACTTCGCAGTGTATAAAATAATTTCTATGATGCTGATGTCGCCGAACATAAAAATCTATAGAATGCTGCCATCACATACTACACTGTCGTTGAGTTTATAGTAACCCTCTTAAGTTAATTTAATTTAAATTGGTCAGAAGTTTTTGTTTTTCCCATATATTATAACACCAGAGACTCTGCATGAAACTAGTTCATTTTCCTATTACCTTAGTTGCCTGAAGAATCATATATGTAAAATAGCGTAAAAACTTAAGAGGACAAACCATGATGGTCGGTCGTAATTTATTCACCATTTATTCTAACGATTAAGAGCCAAGTTTCAATCGCGTTCCGGCCGGTTAAAGGACGCTGATCTCAGAGCAGTTGTAATAGTGGGGTTTAATAGAAATATTCCCAATCATCTCTTAGCTGGTTCAGGGTTCGTTTCGAGATACTCTGTTTGCTGTTGACTAGAGGTTTTAAAGTATGAGCTCAGGATGGGCACCGCCCTTTCCTTAAATCGAATTGGGTACATCCAAAATATGTAAGTTACAAATGAAATAATGAGCTCGGTTAAGGTTTGATTTTCTACAAGTATATAATTAGTAATTTAACATTATAAAGGCTAGAATTCGGTTTTCGTTTTTGTGGTTTTCATAGTATTGCTGCAAATAAATGTCGGTTTTATAACAGAAAATCTGTAATATGTAGCGCATACGTCAATTACTCCCATACATGCAGGAATTGAACTTGAGACAAACGAAAACATTCTCCCCGAGTTGTCGTGAATGTGGTTTGTGTCGTTGGTAGCACTGCCGCCTGAGTTTCCAACATGGTAGTTGTGTATCGCGGTATGATCATGTGATGTGGAAGAAACTGTGTTAAGTCTAAATGATATGTGATTAAGATAACCGTTTATTGTTGTAGTAGATATTAACATTTCCATAAACAATGGCGGACCTTCAGAACCCGCCCCTTAGTGAAATAAAGAGACCCGAAGAGGTAGTGAGAATGGCAATGAACGACAGCTTGAAATTTGCCGTCCTCATCGGCCTGATCGAGGTGGGACAGGTGTCTAACCGCGAAGTTGTAAACACCGTACTTCATTTGGTAAGTACTATCACATTTTTCAGTACAGAAAACGATTTTCCGATTGATTTAAGTGCTTAAGACGAATAGTTGCTTTTGCAAACATTGTCAGAATTATAATAGTATATCATAGTTATTTAATGGGCGTGATTATGAAGCAGGTTGAACTATTATTGTCGTCGTTTAGAATTATGAATGAAATGCCTTGCTTGTGTCATCTTTGATTCCACTCGTTTTCTTTATTGTGCTGTCAGCGAAGTTATTGCCGTGAATATATGAATTGTTTATATTGTCAATNCCCCACCCCCCCCCCCCCCAGTTGTTTTCATTGTTACGTCAGATATGTCGCCTGGTTGCGCCTTAACTCGCTAAAGAATTATGGCATATTATAGCTTTAATATTATTTTGTAAAGAAGCCGGAAGATCTATTGATGTCCAATGTGGACATATAAATTCCACGTTGAAATTTATATAAGTGATTAATAAATTTGAAGTTTCTGTAGAAGGTAGTTCTGTTTAGTAGGCAGCAAGGGTGTTCCAGACATCCATTTGAATTTACTGCAGATCACATAGATAACATAATAGTGCAGCATCTTTTTGCAGTGTGTACTCTAAATTAGCATTCTTGCAAACTATTAGAATATGAAAATATACCAAAGAGAGTCTAGGTTATTATGAATTGAAGAAGCATAAGCCATGGTTTGATGAAGGATGCCCAGCATCGTTAGACCAGAGAAAACGAGCCAAATTGCAGTGGTTGCAGGATCCAAGCAAAACAAATGGCAATACTCAGAACAGTATAATATATGAAACCAGCAGGCATTTCAGGAATAAAAAGAGGGAATATCTGAAAGACAAAATTTATGAGCTTGCAACAGGCTGTAAGAATAAGAACATTAGAGACCTGTGTAGAGAAATAAATTACTTTAAGATGGGTTACCAACCTAGAAGTAACTTAGTGAAGAACGAGAATGGTGATCTTGTAGATTCCCACAACATTTTGAATAGGTGGAAGAACTACTTCTCTCAGTTATTGAATGTACATGGGGTCAGTGATGTTAGTCAGATAGAAATACATACAGCTGAGCTGTTAGTACTGTAGCCGACCTCCGACGTACAGCTGTACATCGCTGGAGATGAGATCTTTTTCCCAGGGATACAGGGGCTTCGAATACCGGAAGGGGAACAAGAGTTTATGATCTACAGGGTCTCCAGAACCAACACTGTGTATTACACTTTTACATTAAAATTGCATACAGTTATTGTGACTCTTTACATAAGTCCTTGAAGCTAACCGCTCCGTCCCTCTTAACCTTTTCACACCAATTCGCTCGCTGACCGTACACACCACTAGCTAGCTACCATTCTGTAACTCACTTCCCTGTGCTGTGTCTATCTTTTCAACTGTCTACTGCTCCCTATAACCGACTGCTTTTCTTTACAAGTCCCCCAGTGGGTATAAAACAAAAAACAAGAAAGAAACTAGAGAAAGCCAAGGGTTGAGCCCTGCATCTGTCCTACATTCGTTTTTTTCAAGATGTCAATCATAAACCTTTTCTGGTCTCCAAGACACATGAGCAGGGAACCCAAGACCCTGCTACTGTCCCGATCTCCCACAATGTCAACCCATGGATTTATGACACTAGGAGCAAACTGGCAACTTTAATGACAACAGTGACACCCTAAGCTTAAGGAGGACAATGTTGATTTACCACTATAGGAGTCCCAGAATGATATCTCACAGGAGTAGGTGCTCTCAGGGGGCAAAAACAATTTTCAGCGAGGGACATAAGGTTACAGTACCTGATCCTAGCACTTTTGAGGTTGAAATTGCTATTGCAGAATTGAAAAGGTATAAATCGCTAGGTAGTGATGAAATTCTGGCAGAACTGATTCAAGCAGGAGGTGAAATATTACGCTCTAAGATCCATAAGCTGATTAATTCTATTTGGAATAAGGAAGAATTGCCTTATCAGTGGAAGAAGTCTGTTATTGTACCAGTCCATAAAAATGTTGATAAAACTGACTGTAGTAATTATGGGGGGATGTCACTGCTATCAACTAAATACAAAATTTTATCCAATATTCTTCTCTCAAGGTTAAGTCCATATATAGATGAAATTATTGAGGATCATCAGTGTGGATTTCGATGTGACAGATCAACTATGGATCAGATCTTTTGCATTCATCAGATACTGGAGAAAAAATGGGAGTACAGTGGGACAGTACATCAGCTATTTATAGACTTCAAGAAAGCCTGTGATTCAAACAGGAAGGAAGTGTTATACAGTATTTTCATAAAGTTTGGGGTACCCATGAAACTATGTAGACTGATTAAAATGTGTTTAAATGAAACGTGGTAAAGTCCGTGTAGGTAAATATTTGTCTGATGATTTTCCTATCCAGAATGGTCTAAAACAATGAGATGCTTTATCACCACTCCTTTTCAACTTTACTTTAGAATATGCCATTAGAAAGTTCCAAGGAAACCAGGTGGGACTGAA